TTTTTGCATAAACTAATCCTCTAAATCTACCTGTACAGTCTATTCGAGCTAAGCCTGAATGCTTCCTGTTTTCTTGAGACTCAGTTATCCATTGAGCATGCGTCTCCTTTCATAATATGACCTTGGACTGATTATGGTTAGAAGCATTTCTTGCAATATTTCCTGTTTAAGTTAATCCATTCAGCATGGTCATGCTGTTACCCACATAAAGGTAAGAGGCAGAGCATGTTCAGCCAGAATGGCATAACCAAGAAGAACATTCTCTGCCTTTTTTCAGTCCATCTTTCAGAGAGAGCATGCTGTACTGAAAACCTCCAACGTACCTACACTATATGGCCAAAGTATTACATGTGGGCATCTGAACACCACATAGGTGACTGATACACATTTAATGTCATAGCCATTAACAAGTACTTGATCCTCCCTTACAGCTCTCACTTTTTGGGAAGGCTTTCCACTAGATGTTGAATCAAGTCTGTAGGGATTTGCTCCCATTTCGACACAATAGCATCAGTAAGTGTCTGTGGTCCAATTCATCCCAAAGGTGTTCAATAGAAGATCAGGTTTGGTCTTTGTGCAGGCCAGTCAAATTCTGCCATAAGAGAATAATGTATATATGGACATACATAGTCATGCTGTAGCAGAAAAAGACCCTTCACAAAATTGGAACTACTATATACTGTTACTGTATTTTGTAGAATTAACATTTGTTGTCATTAGACCCCTAGTCAAAGTGGTTAATTTAAAGGGGGTATCCACATAGTGTTGGCCGTGTAGTTTCTGATCTTGTGTCCACAAAAGAGAGTTTCAGTAGCTTGAGATTTAAGCATAACTGGACCATATAGGACTGAGAAAGCATTTGCTTAATCTGGATGTTCAGTCTGTCAGATGCTCAGATGTTAAATTTAGACCAATTCAGAGTGTACTACTTTAATCTACAGAAAAGCTTTGTCCTTCATTAGTAGATCAACCCTTGTGACAACCGCAATTTGCCAAGTAGGATTTGCCAAGTTCCTGGCTCAATGTCCTTTGTTTGCCCTGGAACAGGTCCTAACCCTATTCCTAAACCCAACCCTAACCAGAACTACCCCTATAACCAAAGGGAAAATGAGAGGATAGTAATGTTTTTGAAGCTTCAGCCTATCCTTAACCCTAAAATCTGATTTTTAGGAACATTGTTCCAGGACCAACAAGAATGTTTGACTTGGCAAAATCACCATAGATTTCCTATTGAAATCTAACTCTTTTATGTCCATATTAGGCCAACTTTGTATCCTTTAATGCCATTCATCGATTTCCTGTGTGAATTGAGGCTCCAACCACAGCCTTAGGCCTAGCCCTAAACCTAGTTTTAAAATCAGATTGTTGGGAATGTTGTTCCAGGTTCAACAAGGATTGGCAAAATCACCCAAGAACTCTTGTAGAAATGTAACTCTTCTATGTCCATAGTAGGCCTACCTTGTATCCTTCAATGACATTTCTTGATTTCCTGTGTGAGTTGAGGGTTTTTTCTTTTCTGTAACAGTGGAGGAGAGCCCCTCCTCTGCCACCTTACCCAGGGCCAGACTGGCATACGTGGGTCCCGCTCCTGAGCGCTCTCATAGTCTCACTGACCTGTCCGAGGCCCCCCTGTACCGGGCCGGTGTGTTTGGACTGCATGGTACGTCCCTAGACCGGCGGCCCCTTGTGCAAGAGAGGAACTACAGCAGGAGTGTATTTGCCTGGCCTGTTTTTGCATAGTCCTCTAAGGAATAATCGCTCAGTTTCTAAACCAGTGAATACTTTTCGTTGGCTGTTGTTTTTTTTTTGGATTTGTATTTTACTTTTTGCCTGCGCTTCCAGGATACTCATGAGTCCACCTACCCTGCTGAACAGACCAGTGTAACTGGTCGCAATCATATGTTTGGGATGCTGGTTTATAAATATGCCTATGGATTCCACAAAGTTACTTATCTAGTAGGGGATGGTCGCCAAGTAACTAACAACATCCAACTAGTTGATTAGTGAGGGTCGACTTGTTGGATTTTTTTATCTGGATTTTTTTTCCTTTAGCATTCAGTGTTAGCTTTAATATTTAACACTGCCTTTTAACAAAGTTAAGATTGCAATTCTATTAGAATTAAGTTTACTGTAATGTTCTATTCATAATTTGGGGTTTATGTCATATATTTTGAAAGCACTACTGTATACACAGATCTATGCTTACTGACTGTTAGTACCCCAAAACCATCTCTGCTAACACTTCTCTCCAACCACATGGCTCTAGTTTAGCATGTAACACCTCTTTTCAAGATCCAATCAGCTCCAGGTAGACAAAATCAAGTTCTGCTCTCATTTTGTTTACAAAGTAAGAGGTAAAATGGTTTGTGAATGCCATTTTATGTTGACTGTAAGACCATCTAGACAACCTGCCAAGTGCCAACTTTGCGCGTCCCCATTATGTATATTAACAACATGGAAGCTTTGGTCAACCAGCTGTACCAGATGTTTTGCTGGTGCTTGTCCACCAGCTAGACCAGAACCAAACAAACATGGATCAGCATGGAAATGCATGCTGGTCTTTTAGCAGGGTATCTGGACCAGCTATTGTCCCTACCAAACGCATGGCAGAAACTGCTAAAGGACTAGACCTAGATGGTGGTAAAAAAAAAAAAAAACTTAAGAACCTCTCAACTAGGAAAGTGAGATGGAGTGACTATGGCTGGCATCTTGTAACTCCATACTGTGTACTGAAGTAGACATCTCTTCAGTTTCGAAGAAGCAGCTCTTCAGTACAAAGGTCCTTGTGTGTGGTTTCAGCAAAACGGCTTCTCCAGAATGGTTTTTGAGACTGCTTTCTCCACTCTGAGAGAGCAGAAGAACCGCTCTGCCTGTGCCGGTTCTTCTCCTGGCTTTTTTTTGCTTAAGTCTTGGATGGCTTGAGAGACGGCCCTGGATGAGGCTAAACACTGTTGAGTGTAACATTGGAGTACGTTTAAAGAGCCAAAAGTGAGGTCTGAGCAAAAAACAAGCCATCATGTCCCACTCTGCTCTTGTATGTTTGGCTGTAAGCAGAGCGCTTGGCCATCTACCCACAATTCCCCAGTGTGATGTGATCTGCTGCTTTTGATGGGTTTGGAGTGGCTTTTACAAAATAACCATTAGTTTCTGGATATCTTCTGCTTGATTACAAACTCATGTACAAACTCAAACTCTGCATTTCTTCACCCTGGCAGAGAAGCCTCTGTTCACGCGGGACCCCACGCAGCTGAAGGGCAGCTTTCTGTCTACAGCCCTACAGAAAAGCAACATGGGATTTGGCTTCACTATCATCGGTGGTGATGAACCAGATGAGTTCTTACAGGTCAAAAGTGTCATACCGGACGGGCCTGCTGCACAGGATGGGAAAATGGCTACAGGTAAACACACACACACACACACACACACACACACTTGCAGCAGGTCAATATTTGATCAGCTCTAATGTGCTATTCTCACTCAAACAGAGCTTCCAACTGGTCAGTCTTTCTCAATCTCTGTTTGTGCCCACACTACTGTAGAGGTTGCGGTGTGAATCTGTCATTTTATTGGTTGATAGTGCGTTAGGGACATCCAGGGGTTAAGAGCTTTTACGGACAGTGTATTTATTGGCTTTGTGTGTCATCCACAGCAGGGCACGTGTCCATTAATCACAGAGGTGCTTTCTGAACCCTGTAACTCCAGTCCAGCCTAGTGGGAGTGTGACTGCGGCAGCATTACTCACACACACATGCATCTGCATTGAAATGTCTCGTACATTCAGAGGGACCCACAGTGCAGAGTTCAGAATATAGTCAATGCGTCTCCCATGATGCCGTTTTATTGTATTATTGTTGTTGGTAGTTGTAGAAATTATCTTTTCTGCTCCTTTCCTCTCCTTTCTGCTCTCTTCCACCCATCATGCTCCCTCTTAGACTCCTTGTCCTACTTGTGCCGTTTTGCAGTCACACACACACGCACTCAGACAGTGCCGTGGAGGAGCTTCAGGTCTACGCCAGTGTGAAATATTAAATTTTGCTGGATTAGGGAGCTCGGAGAGGAAATCAAACACAGACACAAACGTCCTTCGCATATGGACATACATACAGTACACAACCATCACTATTGTTGGGGAATGTTACTTTTGAAGACCTTATGTAATCAGAATATGAGTTTTGTTGATTTTAGTCCATGTGTGTTAGCTTTGAGGCTAATCTGTATGCTAATTTCCTCTGAAATGTTGCTTTTAATCGTTAAAAACTGACTGAAATATTAATTATTCATCCTGCGCCACAGATTTAAGTCCAATCAGATTGACTCTAGAATGAGATTTTTTTATTTTTTTATTTTGGCGTTATCTAATTCTCACTTAAATGTAATCCTTAAAAATAACTATTTTAATACTCTACATTATAATCTAGGCATAAATTGACTTTGATCATTTTAATATGATTGATTTTGTTTTAGTGTTATATTTTTGGGGGGAAAATAGTTTAACATGAAGATAATTATTGGTCATTTTTATTGATTTTGAATGTACAGTACACCATATACAAGATTTACATTTTCAAATAATAAATGTTACTTTTCTGTTCATTAGGGATGTTTGCTAAGACAAGTCTCACTATTAATACAGTTTTATTCATATTTTGTGAGTATGTAACATGTTAAAAAATTTTACTCCCAACACTAACCACTAGGGGTGTAACAGTACACAAACATGACGGTTCGGTGCGTACCTCGGTTTGGATGTCACGGTTCAGTACGGTTTCGGTACAGCAGGGGGAAAACTAAACATAAAAATTGTTTTTTTTTTATTAAACAGTGGTTTATTGAACACATTTTTCTTTCTTTAAATAAATTGAATTATAATTAAAATTTCCTTAGGGATAAAAATCTACCTTAGCTTATGCTCTAAACTATAGGTAGCCCTTTTACATTACTATAAGGTTACAATTAACAACAGAGCACAAGCTTAAATTTAATTATTATTTATTTGTAAATATAATAATCAACACTCAACTTAAAGAAATGTATGCAAAACATGTAAATTGCACATAATGCAGTTTTTAAATTAACTTCCAAATTATAAAAATTGTATTTGGCAGGGGGAAAACTAAACATAAAAATTGCTTTTTTTTATTAAACAGTGGTTTATTGAACACATTTTTCTTTCTTTAAATAAATTGAATTATAATTCAAATTTCCTTAGGGATAAAAATCTACCTTAGCTTATGCTCTAAACTATAGGTAGCCCTTTTACATTACTATAAGGTTACAATTAACAACAGAGCGCAAGCTTAAATTTAATTATTATTTATTTGTAAATATAATAATCAACACTCAACTTAAAGAAATGTATGCAAAACATGTAAATTGCACATAATGCAGTTTTTAAATTAACTTCCAAATTATAAAAATTGTATTTGTTGTTGAAATGTATTCATTTACACAGTGCCTCTCATAACTCATTTCATAACAGATTTATTTAAACATACATTAAATAATTAAGACATCACTAACAGGTAAAGTAAAATATAATGATTATAAAGTCTAATATTTCGGGAAATGCTCTTCTCTGCTCTTCATTTCTCTAGCGAACTAAGCTGTGGACACATGACTTTCCTGAGGTAAATAAAATGCTACGTGACATTTTGTTTACAAGCTGCTTTATTGACGTCTTTCCGCGGTCGAAACACTGATTGAGCAATTACATGAGGCATGAGATGTTCATTCATGTTTATTTCACATTAAAACTAGTAGTAAAGAGGAAGAGATGATCGCGCTCACTCGCGCTCCGTGCTGCCGTCAGAACTGAAGCGTTTATACAGCGATCTGTCGCGCCACATTAAAGAGCGCCAAAACGGCATTTATTGTCTGAAAAAGGTCGCCCTGTCGTTTGAATGAGGTGTTTATACAGTGATCTGTCACCCCACATTAAAGAGCGGGAAAACGGCATTTATTGTTAGAATTTCCTGAAAAAATGAGACTTTGTTTCTTATCAAAAGTAACAATATAACTGTAAGTTTACAATTAAGTTCCACTCGTGCAGTATTTAATACAATGCTGTATTTGTTCGGTACACATGCGTACCAACCCGTAAGTTTACAATTAAGTTCCACTCGTGCAGTAGTTAATACAATGCTGTATTTGTTCGGTACACATGCGTACCAACCCGAAAGTTTTCGGAAATTTTCGATCCGAATACGTGTACCGTTACACCCCTACTAACCACCACAATAATCATAACAACTGTTTAATACCTATCCACAAATTAACATTAATGTGATGTAAACATGCCATGTATTCCTCTCTCTCCTGTCCTGCTGGCTAAGTGCTTCCTTGATAAATTATAACTATTATGCAGAGTGCTGGGATTTGCTGCGTGACATGCTTCACTTCCTGCATCTTAGAGCCCTGCTATCCAGCCCATCCACGCCCACTATAGATACCTCTGTGGCACTGATGTTTACTCTGCCCCTCACAGCTGTGCCCGATTCTTCTCATAAAGAACTTAACAAGCAGATAATGAGTTGAATCAGGTGCACCAGTGTGCTGCTGAGGGACAGGAAGCACACAAGTCATATGCCTGTTGGAGGTTCTCTGCATTTGATGTTTAGAGCTTCATTTGTATAGAATGTCTATTGTGGCTCAGCAGTGATGTTTTGAGGATTGTGCATTGATTGTGTTTGTTTAGAATGCCAGTCACAGAGCAGTGCTCCTTTGGTTTCCGTGCATGCACAGACATAAGATGTCTCAGACGTTTGTTCCCAGAGCTCTTCTTATGTTGTCTCGCTATGATTAGTTTTACGCAGCACCTCTTTCTCTTGAAGACTGTAGTTCAGCTACAGAGCTTATAGTTTTGTTCTGTTTTTCAGCTTATATATATCTGACAGAGCATTATATATTGATATATTTAGATATTTAAAAAATAGTTAAGATGTTTAATTAATTTAATATTAAAAATATTTCTATATTGCAATTTTCAAATATTTCTAGTTTTGTTTAATCTTAGCAGCATAACAATTTGAGTAAAAAGTTCAATGCAAAAATGAAGAAGAATTTCATGATGTAGAAGGAAAATTATTTGTTCAATCAAAGAAAGTACAATTTCATCTTAGTAAAAATCTCAAGGCATGTTTTCACACTGCTTTTTGTTAAATTAACAGGAAACAAAATATTAGATAATTTTAATTTTAATAAAACAATAAGTAGCACATAATAAGTATCTGTGCACAACTTTGAGTGATGAATTAAATTAATTGAAACTGACTATTTGAACTGGTTCATGGAAATGAATCAATGTGTTATTACACATTTTTTTCTATTAATGTTTAAATGAGACACCCTATTAATACATCTCTATTTAAATGCTCACATACTAGTCACAAAAAAGGTGATAGCGATAACCCAGCCTTAGTTTGTTGAAGTTTATTTAAACAATTTTAGTGACTCTTATTATCCAGTGTCAGCATTCACAAGTATATATTAAAGTAGAACATAATATGAGAGCTGTCGAATTTTGAATTTTTTGAAGTTTGAATTTTAAGTGGATGATAATGTCTTGTTTGTAGGAGTGCAGTGATCTGGTTTGCCCTGTGGAGCGTCGGCTCAGACTGATGCTGACATAAAGCTAGGTGTGATACAGCCCGGTCACACCGATATCATTTGCTCTCTGGAAGCATGTGAAATTATTGATTGGAACACCAGAGGCTCTAGGCAAATGTTGAACGTATTTACTGAGATTAATTAAAATTCCTGCACACAACCCACAACAGTCAGAAGGGGACAAGCCTATCGATAGACACGTATGGCACTGCATGAAATGTCTCTAGGAAACCAGTAGCACAACAGACACACTGAGTGAGACCCCGTGATCTTATTTATCCCACAAATACATGCGCCACATTTGGTGGAATATTGAGCATCTTCTCATTTCCATAATAATTGCATTTCTGATATTTAATTCTTTGTCAGCATTCAAAGATGGAGGGCAAAGCTTTTATTAGGCTTGAAACATACTCTGCGGAAACATTAAAGTGAAAAAAAGTTAAGTGACATGTGGCCAAGTATGGTGACCCATACTCGGAATTAGTGCTCTGCATTTATCCCATCCAGAGTGCACACACACAGCAGTGAACACACACACACCGTGAACACACATCCGGAGCAGTGGGCAGCCATTTTTTGCTGCGGCACCCGGGGAGCAGTTGGGGGTTCAGTGCCTTGCTCAAGTGCACTTCAGTCGTGGTATTGAAGGTGGGCGAGAGCGCTGTACATTCACTCCCCCCAACTACAATCCCTGCCGGTACGAGATTCGAACCCGCAAAACCTTTGGGTTACGAGTCCGACACTCTAACCATTAGGTCACGACTTCCCCAACACTACAAACACTACACAAGCTCGATTTCACATTCCGGCACTGAATGTGAAACTGAACTGAATGAGTGAACAAATATCGGAAGGACTGGTAAACTTCCTGATAAAAGGGAAGTGAAGATCACAAGTAAGTCCTGACCCTGTTGAAAAAAACAGCATATGCTGGTTAGGTATGTTTTGAAGCATGGCTGCTGGTTGAGCTGGTTTAAGGTGGTCATGTGCTGGTCCTAAGCAACTAGCTCCTGCTCAGGACCAGCTCAGAACCAGCTTAATCCAGATCATGACCAACTAAGGACCAGCTTAAACCATCTTAAATCAGCTGCCATGCTTCAAAACATACCTTACCAGCATGGTCATGCAATTGAAATAACCTCAACACCTGAGTGTGTTTCCTAGCTGTAATTTATATATTTGCATAACTTCAATCAGCTGTTCCTCATAAACAATGGAATAAAATACAGGAGATATATTTGTGTTTCAATTCACAACATGAAAAGCTGTTCACTTTGACTTTAGCCTATAAGTTAGGTTTAGAACATGATGTTAACTGGTTTATGCTGGTCATGTGCTGGCAAAGGACCAGCATAAACCTGCAAAAACCAGCAAAAGGACCAGCATAAACCAGCAAAGGACCAGCTTAAACCAGCATCCCAGTGTCAAAACATACCTAACCAGCATATGCTGGTTTTTTCAACAGGGAAGCATGGCGATACTTTAGGATTGAGTCGCTCAAATTGTTCCTTCGACTGGTGCGCTGTAATTGTCACAGTTGCCAGGGGAGACGACATGAATAAATATTGGATGACTGAAATCGTTGCAAATTGGGGAAAGTTTTTCACCCTGATTAGACAGACTGTTCTTATTGGGTAAAATTTATTTTCCCCATCAGTAGTTCTGTTCCAAAACCTAGAGATATTTTGCTGTCAGTGTTCTTTACGTCAGGCAAAATGATTGATTTGGAACATTCTACACAGGCAGCGAGCCACACAAATGGTGCTTTTCATGTGAAGCACACAGGAGATTTGACTCCTCTAGTTAAAAAAAGCACAAAAAATACAGACAAATAATGGGTGTATAGTTTATTTGTAATTATTATTTGTAATTAACTTGTATCAATACTTTTCTTAATTGAAACAAATACAAGAATCAACATTTTTTTGACCCATCCACCATCTTGGATCATTTTTGTCACTATGCTTATTCCAATGCTTTCTGGGAATGAGTTATCTTGTAAAGAAGCATAATTATGTTTAAGTTTATGCCTACCTTTTGAAACAGCCTTGGCTTCTGGCCCAAATATATACCTATTAGTGTTAGCGTATGCTAATATATCTTTCTTTGTGTCTAATTATTTTCCAGGAGATGTGATTGTCTACATTAATGATGTCTGTGTCCTGGGCACCACCCACGCTGATGTGGTGAAGCTTTTCCAGTTGGTGCCAATCGGACAAAGCGTAACACTCGTCCTTTGCAGGGGTTACCCTCTTCCGTATGACCCGGAGGACGCAGCCAGCACTTTGCTGTCCCCCCTCAGTCTAATTGATCGCCCTCTGCTGGTCAACGGAAGGAATAGCTACGACAGCTACATGGAGTACATCTCCCGCACCGCTCGCTTCATCGACCCAATCCAAACAACGTTGGTGCAGCCTCACCCTGGAGACACCCACCTGGACGCCGGACTGCTGGAGGACAGCGTCTCAATGGCGTCGTCAGGGGCGGCCGGAGGAGAGCTGCTAACAGTTACCATGGTGAAAGGGGCGGATGGGTTTGGATTCACCATAGCAGACAGTAATGGAGGACAGAGGGTGAAGCAGATTCTGGAGGCGCAGGGGTGCCCGGGGCTGTGCGAGGGCGATCTGATTGTGGAAATTAACCAGCAAACCGCGCTAACGCTGTCACACACACAGGTGGTGGAGCTGCTAAAAGAGTGTCCTGTTGGAGCTGAGTCCACGTTGGTTGTGCAGAGAGGAGGGGCAGGTAAGGAGACTTTTGAATGTTTTTGGGTTTTGTGTGTTTTATGGATATGGAAAGGCCTCTTATTTGGTTGATTAGTCCATCTTGCCCTTCTTAGCAGTTTTATAATTCACTCCTCGGCTTTCTCAAAGCACTGAGTCACGCTGAAGAACAAGAACCTTCACTGTGCGAAAAAGTGCCCCATGCAGATTTCGCTCATGTTTCAAATGGTCACGCAAATTTGCAGCACTAACCAACAGAAAGCTGCTTGGTTTGAAAGTGACTTTGGTGAGCTTTATGCATTACTGTGTTATTGACAATAGAAATAGGATTTTTGTTTGCCCACAAAATGTTGCCTAAATTTTGCCAATGTAACCTCACCTCAGTGAAACAGACCAAAGGCAAAAGTCTACTGGCTATTGACCCCTTGGATACGTCCCACCTCCAATCTAGGAAAGAAAACAGCAGTCATCAAGCCATTTCATTGGCTTCACTGAGTCTTTAAAGTTATGCTGAAATCAAAATTGTTCCCAAAACTGATGCCAAACAGCTATTTAAAGCTTCACACGTGGCATTTCGCAGTGATGTGCTTTCCAGCAAACAAGCACTTCCTACACTCACGTACACCGTGTCCCAGACACCTACACTGTCTCACATACAAATTATGGTTTGCTGGTTCAGTGTCTAGCTCTCAAGGGGCAGTGAATCAATGCTGATTATTTTACAGTGCTGTTGATTACTGCTGGTGATAACTTGTTTCTCACCCGAGAATGATTTTAGATTCTAGATTTTTAGATTCTCCCCAATTACTGGAATGTTCTTTTATTTGTTCCTTTATTTTATTATAATAACGTATAATATTTTATTTTTATTTTTTTTCACAAAACCAACTGCCCTTAATACAATACCGTAAGTCAATACTTCAAATATATGCTAAAATTATATATTAAAGTTTAGATTTCAAAAATTTTTGCATAAGAAAACGCTATCATATGTCCTGACATAAGATTCATTTTAGAATTATACTTGTTCTTTTAGTTTTCACAGATGTGTCCCTACTTTTGTGAGACTGACAGATGTATGATTATTTTTATTAAATCCGTCAGAATCAAAGTCATCCCTCAATCTGAAGGTCTTATTTTGATATTTATTTTCATTATTTTGAGATTAGCAAGGTCATACAGACACTGGTGGGTTATATATAGTTTTATATAGTTTTATTATTTTAAGTATAATTTTTTTATTCTTTCTTTCAGCTGAGCTGAAAATGTGTTTGAAACCATCCGGTAGTATTGATGTATTCATTCATTCAAGTGAATACAGATTTGTCTGTATTCATATTAAGTATTTGACATATTAATGTAATGTATCACAGTGATACTGGTTGATCGGTGAAAAAACACATTTGTGAGAAAATGGAAGAAGCAGAATATTGAAACCAAATTTAGGTGACTATCTCTGAGCATATTTAGTAGACTAATTCAATTTAATTCTATGACACATAATTTTTTTTCAGTTCTATAGCCTGTTTTGTCTGTTTTAGTACTCAGGAATCTGGGGTGTGCATACAGCCTGTCCACCATGTCAGAGCAAAGCATATAATTTGATCTCTAATTGCAGTTGGAAGCACTCACCGTATTATTTTTTTAGGCCTGTGGTTTTAGGCCGAGATTTATTGTCATTCATGTTAGGAAATGAAAAGACAGTAAAAGCCAATCCACATGCACCAGTCTATACTGTAGAAAAGCAGCTAATTTGATACATTTTAGTATTGAATACAAAAAAAAAACCTTCAATGGCTTTAGCTCTAACTGACACCTTGACTGAGAACATATAAGCCTTTTTTAAAAGCAGCTTGAGCCAGTGTGATTTATGACTCGTAGCAATCAGAGTGTCTGTTATAACCCAGAGAGAAAGGGAGAAGGAAAGCAAGAGAATAAATAGATTAAAGATTCAGAACAGAGAGGGAAAAGATAGAACTCTTAACCAGCACTGTAGCAAAATTACAACATTTGTTCAAAGCAATTAAGTAATATTACACATTCCTAAATGCATCATAGGATTAAATACAGAGTAATCTCCTACTTGTCACAGTCTTCAGCGGGTGTGCCCAGGAGGGCCACCAGATGACTGTGTTCTGGGAGCACATGGCTTGTGTTGTGTTTGTCTGTTGCCATGTGCTCTCTCCTGTCTATTGTCTTGCCCCTCCCATCTTGTTACCTCGTTATAGTTTAAGTTGCTCCACCTGTGTCTCCCTCGTTAGCCTCCTCGTTTGGTTCCTATTTATTCTCCTTGTGTCTGTCATCCTGTGCTGATCCGTCATTTCTCATTGTGTGTGTTATATGTCTGCATGGAGTGCAGTTTTGAGCCTGCCTGTCTGTTTTTCCCCCTCGGGGTGGTTTGAGTTTGTTTTTTGTTTCATTTTTATTATTAAAATAAATAACCATTTCTCCTGCAATTGAGTCCTCGCTTCATCTCCCCGCACGCACCGTGACAGAACGGATCAGCCAACATGGGGACTCAGCGGAGAATGGGTTTACACCGCCTACCGGTCTCTACTCTCTCCAGCCCCCTCTACCAGCGCATGCTCCAGCTGGAGACCCTGAGCTCCCTCCGTCAACGAGGGACCGAGCTGAGGGAGTTTGCCATGGAGTTCAGGAATGCGGCAGAGGGGCTGGGCTACAATGACTCCGCGCTGAAGGACTTATTAAATTATGCCCTGGAT